TGTTCGAGCTGGATTCATCAACGAATCTGGTCATTTAAAGCCCATAATACATAAGATTTAAAGCGCGAAAGGATTGGCCTTTCAGCCCAATTCCACAACGAACTCATGTGTTGTAAGGAGAAAATAGTCCCCAATGACGGGCCCAAATCAGCTCCACATGCATATCAAGATTTGATTCAGACTGATCGACAAGCAGGCCTAAAAATCCTCGTCCTTCAAGTTTTCATGCTTATTGCTAATTCCACAACGAACTCWTGTGTTMTAAYGYYYAAAWWYGSCCCAATGACGGGCCCAAATCAGCTCCACARGCATATCAAGATTTGATTCAGACTGATCGACCAGCATGCCTAAAAATCCTCGTCCTTCAAGTTTTCATGCTTATCGCTTAAAGGACTGAGGGCAATTGTTGGTGTTGTATTTTGCTCCCCAAAATACGGCCCGAGAAAGACCCATTAGCAATGAAGACGGCCCGCTAAGCAAGGCCCACAAGATAGGCCTAGAGAGAGATAACTAGAAAAATATGCCACTGGCTGCAAACTGGGATGGAGCCTGCAGATAAGGGAAGGACTAAGTCAAGGCGGATATCTTGGCGGTTGAGCTGAGGATCTGGGATCGTGGGGAACGTGTAGCGAGAATATAGGAGTATATGCGCATAACTGACAGGTTATATAAACAACAAAGTGGGCTTCTTCGAAGCTAATTCCAATCTTCATCATTTTTCACCATACAAAAATCACCTAGAACTATAGAGTGTGAGTTGCGCTCTGTTACTTTCAAGTAAATCTCTTTAAATCGTTGTATTGATATAGGTTCGTTAAGTCATATTAATACATATCTCTTTCGTTATTGCCAATCTTTATTAATTTACGATTCATACGAAGCTCTAGGCCTCAATTCACTTTTCTTAATATCAAATTCTTGGTTGTGCGTTTTCAAATCCACGACTTCTTTAGCAAGGCATTGAGTTTACAAGAAGAAATAGAAACATAATCAAAGGCATGTACCTAAGATATAGGAATAATAATTAAACAGTTCTTGCAAAGATTTTGTTTTTCTCTGTTATTGTTTCGTGTATATCATAGATTAGCAGGAAGTTGATAATCAAAATCCAATCTGATTGAGATTTGATTATAGGGGATTTAAAAAACATATATATTATAGGGGATTTTTTTGTACAAAATGTTCATTAATCTTTCGATAATA